CCAATTCGGCTGAGATCTGGATAAGGTTCGTATCAATGAGTTCCTTCATTGTTTGTCTTTTGGGTTTAGTGGTGAAGCTAGAAATAGGCTATTGAGCTTGAGCCGGAGAGATGCACTTTTGTGGGCATCTATATCCCGAACAGTGTGTACTTTTAGACGACAAATAAGGGATTTCACTGAAGAAATTCTTCAATTTTTCTGGACAGGTTTGGTGACATGACATCTAAACGCACTGACTTATGGATGCACACTGGGCCAGTGCCTATCAAGGGGTTACCTAATATACCATACAATATTAGTTCTAACCCAGCTGGATGGATATCTTACAATTCACCGTTTTACCGTTTTTGAAGTGTTTTGTGTTCTTTTTGGCAATGTTTCCAGCCGAAGATTGATCTCCAACATGATCATAAGTGCGGCTGCAGCGTCGATTACCCGTTTGACCGTTTCGTTGGGTCATCTGTATCGCCTTAGTTACGATTTCTTCGTCTGTTTCACGATTTTGTCGGAATTGGACAACCATATTTCTGCAGGTTATCCAGTGATATGGTACTTTGCATTCCAAGGCAGTGTATGATCATTCGAGCCACCCTTTTATAACTTTTCATCATAAGGGAGTATAATTGTAGGAATTCACTTTTTTGATGAGAACAGAGTAGATCGATATTCTGTATGAGTGCGATCGCGGGCGAGGAGCCCTAGAAAAGAATTCTCGGTGTATTCTGCATCTTGAAGGCCTTGAATAGGGGGCCCTGTTATCTGGAATTGGGCATTACTGTTCTCTCATATGTAAAAGGATTACACTTCTTCCAGATACATATCGTTCTTCCTTGAAAAGAATGATCTCACAAAGGCCCGTGCAACGGCAGAGCGAGCTCTAACTGTAATCAGTTACAGGTGAGATATAGATTATTCGAGATTTTCGATAGTGTTTTCGTATCATTTTTTTTGAAGGGAAGAAGCTGAGATTTTCAACATTTGGACTGCGTTCCTCAACATGGAAGTGGCGTACGGTGATGAGACATCGGTAAAAGAAGTGTTCAATCGAGCATGTGGTAATGCAGACGCCTTCAAAATTCATAAACAGATGGCTGCCATTTATTCGGACACCGGCAAAAATGAAGTAAAATATCTTCTCTTTAATGAAACGTTAATGGATGTTCACACCCACACCGATCATGATTTTTATAGCAGGCTGATGAAATTTATGAAGCCATGGTAAAGAAGTTCCGCGCCAATTCCGATGAGGTTTGGACACTGTATGGCGAGCATCTGATGAAAACCGATCGTGCCGATTCAGCGCGTGAATTGATGAAGAGGGCACTAACGAGCGTTCCAAAGCAGAGGCGTTAGTTTTTACGAATTCAGTGATTAGATGCGTTTATACTTTGGTGTTGTTGTTCCAGATGTTCCATTGATCAGTCGATTTGCCCAGATGGAGTTCCGTAATGGAGATGTTGAGAGGGGACGCACGTTGTTTGAAAGTGTGGTACGTGTTTACAGTAGAACTAATGAGCGCCCACACTGCAAAAGTTTTTATCTTTAAAATACATATGAAAAATGTTTCTAAAGCCTCTTAAAAGCGCGGTTGGGCACTCGTAGCGTATTGGCTTCAACGCCATGAGGCTCTTGTATGTCACATGTAGAACTCTATTTTCGCAATCCTACAGAGCTGTTGCCTGTTGGGGAAATTTTCAAAATTTCATAAACGAATGTGAGTCTTGAATCACTGCGTCAATTGATGCATTTTTTAGGTAACTGCTTATCCAAAGAAAACAGATGTGTGGCTGGTGTATGCGGATCTTTGTCTTAAACACTCGGGAATTGAGATGGCTCGGTGAGAACAACAATTTTTTGTGTCGCAAGGAAACACTATGGCTCCTGTCACTTAATTATAATATTCTATGCAGAACTTCTTAATATTAATTGTCGATCATACTTCAGCCAAGTGTTGGAACGAGCATGTGCCCTGAAACTTAGTATGCACAAATTACGGCCGCTGTTCCGGAAGTGGATGGACGCCGAGCAACGGTTTGGCGACGACAAGTCGCGGTTATTGGTAAGCTTTTTGAGTTAGTGGGACCGTCAGGTTAGCGTTGAAGTCAGGAGGAACTCTTTCCTTCGTTGTACAGACCTATAAGTATTTTAGTGAATGTGACGATATGTCATGGATTTCTCTGGATTGATTTAAAATTTACTGGCTCACCTTGCAGTTATTTTTTGGCGTCACCTAGATTTGATCAAAACAATAGTAGACTCGGTTTATTATTTGTCAAAACTCATACCTCTTCCTTCTAAAGCTGCGCACAAGTTGGTTTTTAGAACCAATTTTCAAAAATCCTATTTCTTACAATAATAGGAAACATGTGAACTTACTCATACTAGTTCGCAAAGGTAATGCGAAATTCCGCTCATTCCACTTATATCCGTCAGGTTTTTTTTGTGCATTTCGGATCAAAGTGAGGAATATAGTAGCACATTTCGTACTTTTCTTCGTTCTTCACGATTATGGGAAATGTCACGTAACACGACGGAAATCGCACATATGGTTCCGTCTTCTTGTGTCACGTGGCGTTCCTTCGATGTCCACAATTACAACGGCCACCTTCGTCTTCAGAATTTTGGAAACTTTATTCGATTTCCGCTCTTTTTATCTCTTTGTTGATGCCCTGCATAAATATGGCATCCCCTGACGTTTGTAATCTAATAGTAAAAACGAAACATCAAACTGAGTTGGGATGAAATGGTGCCCCGGTAGCGTAACTGGTAGCGCACTTGCCCGGAAAGCGAGAGGTGCGGGTTCTAGTCCCGCCTGGGGCGTTTTGTTCACAACCCAGCATTCTTGTGAAACATTCGCAAGGCGAACTGCGGCCAAAAACAGCAGTTAACAAACAAAAACAAGTCAAAAACGAAACAGTTTCAATGAAGTGAACAACTTAGGATTTGAGTCCACCGGGATTGGTAAGTTTACAATGGAGAAACCGTATTTGGGATTCTTTGATAACGATCGTATTTAACACATTGGAGCCCGCGCATGTTTTACGTTTCTCGGCCGCCTGGGACTTCAGTGGGTTTTTAAGTCTTATTGAGCAAATTGAGAACAAAAACCTATTCAGTGATCTAGACGAAATCTTATTGCATGAAATGGGAAGAAGAAACAAAAGAAAAACTGAGTGCTTGTTTCCAAATATGGGTCGTAGGGTACCACACGGTTGACGGACTGCAGCCCATATATGTGCTGCATGGGCTCCAAAGTGTTAAGGTTTTTTGAGAGATCTTGCAGTGGGCTGGTCATGCGATGGTTTTTTTTTCTTGGTGAGGATTTTTTACAACCCGCTGTGAAAAATTCTCGATGGGGGAGAACTGTATTCTCTTCGCTCGACGGCAATTTTGCAGAAGTTTTTTGGGGTTGGTTTGAGTTCAGGTGGTGGGAGGACGCCATCACTGCCCGTCCAAGGGAAGTATTTTGAATTTTGAAATTTCTTAACGTGTCTTGACCCTGAACTTGACCCAGTGTCGCATCCTATTCACTGTTCACCCATGCAACCGTACCAGAAATGCCACTGCAGGAGCATAACGACCATGAGAACAGTAGAAACCG